TATATAGAGATCTGCAGATTCCTCTTCTTTGTTTGGGGTTTGGAGGTGCCCAGATGAGTCACAGCTGTGAAGTAATGCAGGCTGCTGAGGAGCTGTAGGCCTTCTTTTGGAATCTCTGAGTTTCTCTGACCCAGCTACAGTTTGACAGGTTTTTAAGCAGAGAAAGGCCAGGCCATTAGTATGCAAAAGCCGCTGTGCACAGCTTGGGTGGGGGTATAAATTGGGTGGGCAGGGTCTCAGGGAATCACCAGGGTGGAGCAAACCACAATGGCTGCCAGTCTGCTTTGCCTCAGGGAGGTCCTGGGGTCTGTGTCCCTCCGCCCCGTGCAGGAACAATGAACGCTGTAAGCACTTCTGCCAGGAAGCCGCTCTGACATTCCAGCCCAATGCCAGACAGTACAGTTTCTCTCCATATGAGTCTGGGTCCCCAAATTTTTGCCCGCAGCTGGAGTTCAGAGCAGTCAGGAGCTTGCATCTCCCTCCCAATTGAAAAAGACAACAGCGTACCCAGCTACCAGCCCCTTTCGCGTGCCCCTCTGTACCTCCACACTTCCACCTCCTGCCGAACTCAATGCACTTTCTCTTTCCTTCTAGTTGTAGAATTTCCATTCAGACAGCCTTCCCTTGGCTCTGGATGATATTTGTTTTGTCTTTTAGTTATAGTTTTAATGTGGTTGTACGCGGCAGCAAGTTCAGGTGTTTACCTATGCCATCATCTTGGTTCTCCTCACAAGTTTCTTTTCGTCAGCTTGCTTCTAGCATTCTCCCATTATTTGTCATGAACAGCATGATTAAATTGACTTTGTCCTCTGGTCCACAGTGGTGTATCCTCTCCTCATATTCTTTTTTTTTTAATTGTATTGATTTCAGAGAAGGATAGATGGAAAGAAACATCAATGATCAGAGAGAATCATAGATTGGCTGATACTTGCACATCCCCCACTGGGGATTGAGCCTGCAACCCAGGCATGTGCCCTAACCAGGAATCAAACCATGACCTCTTGGTTCATAGGTCATTGCTCAGCCACAGAGCCATACCAGCCAGGCCTCATATTCTTTTCTTTACCTGAAAGTTAACGAGAAAACCACCAGTTAAGCTTAATAAACTTAATTTTACACAAAATATTAAGTATGAGTAGTCTCGGATAAGAGGGAGTGTTGACCCACGAAAATTAAGCGTGGCTTTTAGATAGCTGGGATATCTGTTTTTACTACCCTTGGCTTTGTGGCTGCATCCTAGAGGTTGAGGTTACTTTTACAACAGACCACTTGATAAGCAGAATATTTTTGTATATTACATATTTTAGTAGTATGTAGTAGTAGAAATTAGTTTGGAACAAATCAAATAAATATTTGCTTGAGATTTCAGGGGGTTTTTTTCTTGATAGAAATAGTTGACAATAGGGCATATGCTGGGGGTTGGGAGCATCTGGGGAGAGCAATAAGGAATTTAAATTAAAATAAAAAAATAAGTAAATAAAAATAAAATATTTTTAAAAAGGAAAGAAATAGTTCTCTTTTTCTTATTTAGAGATCTGTATTCATGTAAAATATCTTTCAAGGCAGAATTTTCAACTTGATTGTACATCCTTTATATCTATTGTTTAATTATGAAATGTGGAACAATATTATTTAGAATATTCCATAACATCTCTGTGCTTCATGCTGTGGTCTGATAAGTTGTTAAAATTATACCAAGTTTTCAGACTTGGACTCTGGTTCACAGTCAATATGCATAATGTATGTATTAATATTAGGCAAATAAGCCAATGAAAATATACTTAGAATTATTAGTCATTAGGGAAATACAAATTCAAATCACAATGAGATAAACTATAAATCTATTAAAAATGACTGACATTAAAAGAACTAATCATACCAAGTGTTGGCAAGATGGAGGATCTAGAGTTCTCATACTCTGTTGATGGGAACATATAATGATCTGACCATTTTAGAATACAGTTTGACATTATCTTAAAAAAATTAAATATATAATTACCATATGAATCACCATTCCACTTATAGAATATTTGCTCAAGAGGAACAAAAGCATATGTCCATGCAAAGACTTGAACATCGCAGCTTTATTTGTAATGGACAAAAACTAGAAACAACCCAATGGTCATCTGCAAGTGAATGGGTAAACAGGTTCATATGATGGAATATTACTCATCAGTAAAAAGGAGTGAAATATTGTTATACATGCCATAGATAAATCTCAAAATAATTATGCTGAATGAAAAAGACAAAAAATAAGAGTACATGCTGTATGAATGCATTTATATAAAATTATGGGAAATATAAACTAATCTGTAGTGACAAAAAGCAGATCCAGTGGTGACAACTTTTGGGAATCATGGCTAGTTCATTATCTTGATTGTTGTTACGCACAGGTGTCATATGTGACATATTGTTATGCAACATATGTCAACACTTTAAACGTGCGCTTTATTGTAAGTTAATTATACTGCGATAAAGCTGTTTTAATAACTTAATATTTTACTTAAATTTGGTGTTCTTGAAATGTTTTCTTTTTAAATTCCAGGGAGGAAATCCTTCAGCAGTCTTTGTGGGAAAGGGTATCAACTCATGTGATTGAAAACATCTACCTTCCAGCTGCACAGACCATGAATTCAGGGACTTTTAATACCACAGTGGACATCAAGCTCAAACAGTGGACTGATAAACAGCTTCCTAATAAAGCAGTAGAGGTTAGGATATAATTTAATTAAATGGGTAAGAAGCATTATCTGAAGGGAGTAGGAGCTGTGAATTTTAAATTTTATTCCCATCACAGCCACTATCTTTCTTTTTGTCTTTATACTCCATTCTTTATTCCTCATATCTGTACTGGGATTAACCTTAATGCTGCTACCAGTTACTACTGTTATAAATCTTTACTAATTGGTATGGTGTTGGTCTGAGGGTATTATTGTTTTCCTCCCCCAAGATAGCATTTAACAAAACTGCCAAAATTTGCAAATATTTCAAATGTAAAACATTTTTAACTTCTTTTGTGGATAAAGATTCCATAAGGAAAATATTTAATGGTTAAAACATTTCATGTCTTGATTTTCTGCAAGGCTCAATTATACTTAAATAATTCTTTAGTTTGGATCATGCCAGAAGGTTAGACCAGAAATTTTAAGAAAGTACCTTAAAATATTTGCATTTCTGTTACCCTACCACTTACTAGCTGTATGATCCTTGGGCTAGTAGCTTAAGGTTTCTGATTCCTCATCTATAAAAATAGGGCTGATAATGTTGCTTATCTCACTGATTGTTACAGGAGTAAATGATTTAATGTATGTAAAATACTTAGACAATGCCTGGCCCATAGTAACTGTTCAGTAAATGCCAGTGCTGTTATGATGGCGATGATGATGATGACCGCCATTCAAGGTGATCAGCCATGCATATCACTCTGAAGCACGATTGTTCCAGCTAAGAGTCTGCCTCCAGTACTTCTGTTTGAGGATACTCATGAAATTAGAATCAGTGTTAAGAATAATTTTGTTTTTCATACCTACCTTAGAAACAAAATGTCAGTCTCTGAGTATTCAGGTGTATTTCACCCCTTTCCTATCCTGTTCCAGATATAGCTTCTTCACTGCTCTTCTCAGTTTCCTTATGCCTCCCTTTCTAAGAACACTGTGGTCATACTGCCCCAGCTGCGTGCTGCTGACCCCTGCCCACTTCTCTGCACATTTACCCTTGATAATTAGCACTGGTGCCACCACTTCACTAGCCGTCCTCACTATCAGCCCTGATGTTTTTCTGGGCCCTACCTCATGATAGGATATTTTTATATCCTACGGTTCAAGCAGTGGAAGTGGTCATAGAAATGGCAATGATTCTGTCTCCTGCCGGCTCTGCCCCTTCACACCTGGGTGTGGTAAAAGATGCGGATCTGGTGAAGGTCAGGAAACATTGATTTTAATACTTCACTATGTATTTTTGTACAGGCACCTTTCTTCATGCCATTATTTCTTAATGTTTGAAATGAAGAGGGCTAAATATAAAATGCTGTTTTGACACTGCTCTTTTCTTTCACTATTCATCTTTCACTCTCAATTTTTAAATATTAGATACTAATTTTTAAAAACTTAAAGCACTGTGTATGTCTGTCAACACATGCCAGGAATTCAAATCTATCCCACCAGCTGCCAGAATAGATGTCTAGGCCAGAGTTTATATTTGTTGATGGTTGTCTTAATGCAGTTTCATAATGTCTTTTCTGAAAAGCTGACCTATCACATCTGACTTAAGTTCATGTGTGTATTTTTCATGTTATAAATTAAATAAAAGTATGTAGTATAATTTTTTTCCTTTAAATAATTCTAGGTTGCTTGGGAGACACTACAAGAAGAATTTTCCCGCTTCATGACAGAACCAAAAGGAAAAGAGCATGATGACATATTTGATAAACTGAAAGAGGCTGTTAAGGAAGAAAGTATCAAACGCCACAAGTGGAATGACTTTGCAGAAGACAGTTTGGTATGTTGTTTGTATATTAAGGTGTCAGCCTCATATGTTTATGTAATTTCTCAAATTGATACTTTTATAAGAACCGTTTTATATGACTAAATTAGATTCTGAATTTAAAATAATGAAGGAAAGAAATAGATTTACGATCTGTAATTGATCCTTTGACATTTCTCTGCCCTTCTGTAATTGCCTTCTGTTATTTCTTGCTTGGTTATCATTTTAGAAAAAAGCAAACTTCTCAGTAAACAGGCTTCTATAAACTTCAACAGGTTGTTATCCATTAGCCTGAACTAATAGAGGTTAGCTGCTTCTCGGTTTACTTTCTGGTAAGGAATTAGATGCATTGATTTTCAGTGGATTTGAGTCATAAAATGTTAGACTCCTAAATCATAATGCTAACTACCATGTGTTGAATGCTTACCAGGTACCAGAAACTGCTGTGTATTTTATAAGCATTCTTTTATTTCATTCTTTTTTTTTTCAGAGACTAAACCAACTTTATTTTATAACAGTATTACTTAAAAGAACTTGAAGCTGCCATAAATCTAATCTTGCATCCTAACTATACATAAGATCAAAAACAAAAGAAAAAATGTTTAATACAGTTAATAGTCCCTATCAGGTCTCTGGTGTCAGCCTTAAATGGTCTGGTTTCCTGTAACCATCAAAAAACCACCACAGCCCCTACCAACTCCTCTCCCCAGTGTCCTCAAACCTGTGTGAATCATCAGGCTATCTGAAAGAGACAGACCTACTCAATAACACAAGGTCGGCTTTACATGTAGACAAGGAGCTTTAGTACAAAGCAAGTGTTCTGCACAAATGTTCAAACAATGGAAAGTACTGAAATTTGGACGTGTTAAGAAAGGAAGCACCAAGGTTTTAAGCTGCCTGAATACTTTATTAGAAAGGAAGAAATTGTTTTCTCTTTCTCCTCCTCCTGTTTCTGGAATGCTGCTGAAGAGCGCGTGTGTGTCTGAGAAGAATTGGCACTGTGGTGCGGTGGGGTCTCTACACACAGTGCGTGGTCAGTGAGCTTCTTCACAATTCTCCAGTCTGGAGACCCTCTGACTTTCTATTTCTACTAAGAGTAAAAAGTTGAAGGACAGGAAAGTCAAAAGGGTTCAGTATAAAAAATATCCCCAATGAATTTGTCAAACATTAGTAAAGTTTCAAGATGTAAGAAATGCTTTTAATCTGTATTAATAATTTCTCATACAGTATATTTACTGCAGTCTGAAAACTCTGTAAATATTTACTGTAATTCAGTGGGAACTCAATGGGAGGAACTTGGAAGAAGGAAAACCATGATTCAAATTAGTCAGAGTTTCCTTTGTGCACAACAGCACCTATTCCATTGAGCAGCACTTGCCAGCTGGGCTGCTCTGTTCACCAGCATTTGGATCAAATGAGTCATATAATGCAGGTAGTAAACAGGAATTAAAACTCCCTGATTAAAAAAAAGAAATAGAAAGAACCAAGAATATTTAGAAGTGGTTATAAAATAAAATACATATTGAATGTGAGGGAACAGTGTAGACCAGAGCTGTTAAGGTAAGGTTTGGCATTGGTATTTTAATTCTTCAGGCTTCTGGTCATTACCAGCTGTGGTATAAATTCAGTGAATTATCGGTGTGGCATTACAACTTGAAATGGTCAGAAGTCTTCCGGTTCACTAAGTTGAATGTTGTTCAATATTGAATTTCTTACCGTACTTTTCCCTTTCCTCCAGCTCCTTTTCTTTGAGCACCACCACTCTCATGACCGATGTGTCGGGTACTGCTCTCAGGCTTCCCTGGGCCTGGGCCGGCACCTGGTCCTGATCACTGTCTGCATCTCCTGTGATCACGATGCTTTTCTCAATTCTTGTTTCAGATAGTCCACCTTTTATAGTCTTGGTGATGTGTGTGGTGGTTGTTGTCGATACGGAATCAAATGTGATGGTTGTGCAGTCAGTAACATGCCCAAGTCACCAGCAGCCCCACCATCAATCTGGGAGACTTCGATGTGATGGTTTTGGTCAAAGTTTGGACAATAGGGACTTCCTTGGTGGAGATTTCTATCGTTTGTGAAGCATCAGAAATTGTTACCATCTCTGTCTTTACTATGGGTGACTTTGAACAATAAATAATTTGTGGCAAACATCAGCGTCACCATGAGATACCTCTCTGTTAACTTTATGTTGCTCATCTTGCTTAATAGCACTTTCGTGAACACTCTCTCTGCAGATCTCTTTGGGACAACTACATGTTCCTGGATTACTGTTTCTGCCTACACTGGCTCCTCACTCCACCATCTGAAAAATCTTTTGTCATATGTAACAGTCTTCTCACCATAATCCAAACCTTACTAAACACCTCCTCTGCTCAGACAAAGGCACTGTCTTCCAGGAAAATGCATATCTTAACTGTGGGCTGGTTGTAATTATAATTTTTTGGAATAAATAATATTTATCTTCATATTTGAAAACTGTATTTATTCTTGTTAGCTGCCTTATTAAGATTGGCTTTCTGAGAGAATAGTGCCATTTTCATTTATTCAACAATTAAAAAATTTGAAAACTAGTTTTTTCATGATAAATAACACTTGCTTGTGATTGATTGTTTAGACCTTTTAAGCTTCCCTCCATTACATTTTTCAGTGCTGTTACTAGTGAGATAATGGTTATTATTTTTATCCTCTCTTTTTGGAAATGCTAACACACAGGTCATATGATAAATAGGAGAGGTAGACATGATCTGAATCATTAACTCCTAAATACTAGGGTTCTAGGTGTTAGATTTTATGTAGTTAAATGTGTACTGTGCCCTTCTCCAGCCCCCACAATGATCTTAGAGATGGTCAGCTCATTTAATTTGGGCTAGGAGAAATTCTCCACTGTTGTTTTTTTAGACAGAAAGCTGACAAATAGGCAGATACTAGGACCTCCTGTATTTGTGTAGAAGGGACATGCTTTATGTCATTTTAGATATTTGCTAAGCTGTCGATTTGAATAAAATTACCAAATGATAAGACACAAATCATATTAGCTGTTTTTCTTTCCTTGTTATTTCAGAGGGTTATTCAACATAACGCTTTAGAAGACCGGTCCATATCTGATAAACAGCAGTGGGATGCAGCTATTTACTTCATGGAAGAGGCTCTTCAGGCTCGTCTCAAGGACAGTAAGTAGGGACAGGGGTTATGGAGTTTTGAGTAGTTTCTGATGAAGGAATCATCCAACTTCAGAGAACATTTGTAATTTTTAAAAAATTAATATTTCCAGGTCTTTGTTATTAATACTGTAGTTAAAGATTACTTCTGGGATTTTTTTTTTAGTGGACTGCTTAGTTACTACTAAAAATATTAAGTAAATTAGACATAAGTACTGACAATCTAAAAAGCTGTATTCAAACTATTCTAGTGTTTGCTGCTATACTTATGAGAACTTTACAAGAACTTTACAATGAATTGTACTTTTCATTGGTTGTAAACATATGTAATTAAATTATTTGTTATATATGCACCTTACCAATCATATAACTTTTCTTCATCTGACTTTATATTGCTATATCACTTTGAAGTGGTTATGAAAGCAAGAATATTATTAGTTGTAATTTCTGTACTTGGTAAGTAACAAAATTCATGATGAATTTAAATTTTTCTTTCAATCGTTTAGCTGAAAATGCAATTGAAAACATGGTGGGTCCAGATTGGAAAAAGAGGTGGCTGTACTGGAAGAATCGGACCCAAGAACAGGTAAAAACAAACAAATCTGCCCTTATGATGATATAATTTTGGTCATTTTAGTTCAGGCAGTAAAATATAACCTATGCATGCCTCTACACCAGTCTTAATAATTGCAAATGTTTATGTTAGCCTTTCTAAAATGTAAAATCTTTAGAATAAACAGTAAACTATGAATGAAAGTATCTATAAGTAAAGTAGCTGTGTTAGTAAAAGAAAGAGTTGAAGCATGTCACTTTTGTGGTTGATTGCTTTGTTCATTTCAATTCCCTATTTAAGATAAATTGAAGATTATAGTTATGAAAAAAAGGAAAAGAATGACAAAGGTTTCAGAGGATGTAGAATGAATATGATTAGAATAAGAAATATAACTTTTTTAACCTTATTCTATTATATTATCTCTGGATTTTTTTGTTGTCTATTCAAATTATTATATTCTTTTACTTTTTTTGCTCCTATGTTCACAAAATAAGTTTAAAAATTTAGACAGGAAGCAAGCAGGATTATAGAATTCATGTATTTACATTTAATGAGCATTTCAGAAGAATAAACTGGTAAAGACGAGTGTAAATACCTTTACCAATGAGTAAAAGAGGGAAAATGGGTAAATTATTAAGTATCCAACCCCCACCCTTTTTATTCCTTCCTTATTGTTGTGGCTTCTTTTCCTATGTAGCATTCAGTCTCACCCCACTGTCTCATTCTTGTTCATTCCTTAAATAAACAGTGTAAATAGAATACATGAATGAAGGCAGTAACGAATCAGAAAAAGAGGTGGCATGTAACACACTTTCTTGTTCCTGAATCCCTGTGATTAGAGAAGGGAGATGAAGATACCTATCAGATGTGAGTCCCAATTTGTCTTAAAATAGTGAAGGGACAGTTCCTCTTCTTTCTGGGATGAATTTGGGGGGCAAGGAATCATTAAGAGACTGAAGAGAAGCTGAAGAAGTGGTCAGAGTGCCTGGTTGGATGATGCCTGTGTTCAGGGTGCATCAGTCTTCTCTGTGTGCACATGGACTGAGAGGAGGGTCTGTCCGGAAAGAACCCCTAGGGGACCATCAGAGGTTTCTGACTTTGAGATGGGGGTAGAGGGGAGAGGGGTTATTGACTGGAAAAACAGGTATAAGGCAAATAAACACCAAAGAAAAACGATTTCAAGTCCTCGTGAAATAGGCCTAGAGTCTCCAGAACAATTAATGCAGTAACTTGTGGTAAATATGCTTTGGCCAAACACTCTTAGAGGGAAATGATTCCTGTATGTAAGTGTTTTTTTCCTCAGGAACTTCAACCCATAGGGAATCTCTTCAAGAGAAGCAGAGGAATTAGCTTTAAGGGCAGTGCAAGGATCTGTGACCCAGAGGAACAATTTAGTAACCCTTCAGAGAAGAGGGTTTCAGGGCTGCAGGTGTAGGACTCGGGATGACTTTAGAACAGCGGTTCTCAACCTGTGGGTCACTACCCCTTTGGGGGTTGAACGACCCTTTCACAGGGGTCGCCTAAGACCATTGGAAAACACATATATAATTACATATTGTTTTGTGATTAATCACTATGCTTTAATTATGTTCAATTTGTAACAATGAAATTGGGCATCACCACAACATGAGGAACTGTATTAAAGGGTCGCGGCATTAGGAAGGTTGAGAACCACTGCTTTAGAACAAAGGCCATAATTTAAAGTGTGGAGGGGAGGGGCATCAGAATCACCTGGGAGGTGTTTGTGTGTGTTTATTTATTCTTTCAAAACAAAGCCGCCTCTCAGACTCCTGTCAAATTCTCCTCTAATCTTGCTAACCCTCTCACTCCCACTTTAAAAACACTGTTCTGGACCTCATACTTGGAAATTACGGTGAGAAACATTATAAAGGAGATTAATAATATCTCCGGGCCTCACATTGCAAGTTTAAAGCAGCTGTCTACAATCCTTTGTCTTTTTGAGTGACCAGATTTAGCAGGAAAAGAAACTCAAGATTGTTCTGTGTTAAAGATGATAAATCCATGCTCTGAAAACTATTTTGTGGTGTTACTTCTGAAAATTCTCACCTCACCTAAGCTGAACTAATACAGATCTTGGTCAGGATAGGTGGGAGAGGAGTGTTGTCCTGAAGACCGGGTGAAGTGGGGACAGATGGACAGGTGAAAGTGAAAACAGAACAGGAAAAGTTGAGGAAAATCATATTTAGAGATTTCCTTCCTACCTCAGACCAAATAGCAGATATTTAAGGAAATAGTGAAATTTCTCTTTATTAAATAATATTTCTTTTAAAATGTCATGTTTTCAGAGACTATTAGTTCTGTTTACAAGCAAATTTTTTGTATTTAAGTGTTATTTTTATACAAATGCTCAGATTCTGTAGCTTAGTATAGTTTGGGCTAAGTGCTGTGGTAGTGATTTGTTTAATCAGTGAATTTGAAGCTTTTTTACACATGCAATTTTAAAAGAAGGATTGAAAAATGAAGAGATAGGCCCTAGCGGGGTAGCTCAGTTGGTTAGAGCATCGTCCCAATACGCCAAGGTTGAGGGTTCAATCCCTGGTCAGGGTACATACAAGAATCAGCCAACAAATGCATAAATAAGTAGAATAACAAATTGATGTTTCTCTCTCCTTCCCTCTTATTTTCCCTCCCTCCCTCCCTTCCTTCCTCTCTCTCTAAAATCAATCAATAAATTATTTTGAATGAAAAATGAAAAGAAAAATTTAATTTCACACTGTGAAATTAAGAGTCATATTTTCAAACTTATCACCTGTATGTATATGTTTCCTCCTTTGATGAAGAGATTGTGAACAATTATAGAGAAGAAACTGGAAATGAATCTAAGAATAATGGGTACCTTACAGAAGCAATCTAAAGCAAGATATTTTAATGAAAAGACTATTTAAAAGTTTCACTATGAATTTTGTATTTAATTTAATGGAAAAGAAACATGCAAGAGGTGTAAGTCATTACAGTCATCTAATTATTAGATATAAAGCATTTATAGAATATTATCTCTTTCCGTGTAAAATATTTCAGCAAAAGTAAAATATAACAAATAGGGCTAAATTATTTTTTTCTTTTTTGGCTGTCATAATTCCAAGTTGTTACTGCATGCATAAGCCAGGGAACTGTGTATGTTCTTATTTGTTGTGATTAAACTTGTGTCATTTATTGTGCAATAGCAATATATTTATTAAAATTGGGACTCTGTTTTTATAAGTGTGCCGAATCATGAACCAATTAAATTCTGTCTTCTTTGAAACATTTTAAAGTGTGTTCACAACGAAACCAAGAGTGAATTGGAGAAGATGTTGAAATGTAATGAGGAACACCCAGCCTATCTTGCAAGTGATGAGATAACTACAGTCCGAAAGAACCTCGAATCCCGAGGAGTAGAAGTAGATCCAAGCTTGGTAATAAATATGCCAAAAAGCATGCACTTGCTTCCTTAATCTTTGTTTCTTGTTGGATAATGCCTTTGGATTCTCTTTTTCCTCACTTATAGTAAATATGAGGACAAAAATAATTACAATTTAGACTACTTTTTGCTTACCTTCATGATGTTTATTTGGGGAAAATAAGAATAAAAATGTTTCTGGGCCTATGTTTCCTAGTTAGACTGTAAGGGATCAAAACCTCACTTTAATATTAGCTTAAATTGGCTTAAGTGAATCCCAACGAGAAAAGTAATGCTAGTGAGACAGTCATATAAAATTTCAGTCATGTGTAAATTCTTTTAAAGATTATCTGCTATTTATGTTTTCTCATTTAAGAAATAAGTATACATACTTACTTTAAATTCCACCAGAGTTCAGAACAAGAAAACTGACATTCAGAACAGTTATAGCTGTTATATGTAGTAGCTTTATTTATAAACTAGAGGCCCAGTGCATGAAATTTGTGCGCAGGTGGGGTCCCTAGGCCTGGCCAGTGATCAGGGCCTATGGGGGCCATCTCGCCATCCTGATTGGGGCCAGGCCAGCTGGGGCCTGCCAACTGCTGGCTGCCGAATGGGGCCAGAGGGACAGGGGGGAAAGACTGCAGGGGTGTGCCGGCCAGGGGGAGGTACTAGGGGAGGTTGGCTGGCCGTGGAAGGTTGGCTGTGGGAGTGCACTGACCACCAGGGGGAAGCTCCTGTGTTGAGCATCTGCCCCCTGGTGGTCAGTGCACATCATAGAGACTGGCTGACCAGTCATTTCGGTAGTAATGGTCACTTAGGCTTTTATATATAGAGATTGAAAATGAAATTAAGACTAATGATTACATGAACATAGATTTAATTTATCCACATTGTCCTAGTTCTCATTAATAATTAGTTGTATCCAGTTTGATACTTTTAAGTTTTCTGTGGCTATAAATATAGTGGGAGGAACTTTGTCCATATGTAGGATGTGGATTGGCTGCATATTCTGTGAGCAAGAAAATCTCAGGTTTTTTTTCCAGGAGACACTTTGTTCAGTGCACTTTATGAACCTGTAAAAATAGTAAGAAAGTACTCTGACAGAAATAGTGGATGGACTAGATGTCAGGAGATGTGAATTCTAGTACAGTTTCATTCCATTCGCTAGTAATATTACTTTTAGTAATTGATATAATCTATCTGAGCCCCTTTTTTCACCTGTCAAATGGTGGTGATGATACTTATTCTACCTACTTAACATTGTTATGCTTTAAAAACAATAGTGGTATGAAAGAACCTTGAACGCTAACGGAGTGTATAGCAATAAGGGAGGGGGGAGAGGATCATAGTGATGTAGTAACTGAAATTTAATAATCAGAAAGGAAATATTGTTGGGTTGGTTGATTGGCATGGTCTGAAACCACCTTCTAGTCATAACTCTGTCCAAGGGTCACAACCTCTTGTTGCCTTGGAATCTTTACCTTGAATTAGGGTAAGATAATTTCTACTTTTGCTATTGTACAAGATGATTATTTGACTATAACAGCAATGGTTGTTAAAAAAAATACTGCAAATTTTGAAGTACATAAGCTGGCAAGGGGGCAGACTAGTAGGAAATCTAATCTTTGTCTTGAAAAAATTTAATGGATAAAAAGGGTTGGTAGAATAACACCGTTGCCATTGGTTTTAATTAATTTTTTAAATATAAATAAGCTTTGTAGATGACTTTTCAGAATGTGTTTGATTAACTTGACAAGTGTATAGTAAGTAACTCTGGTGTTTGTATTCTTTTTTCATTAGATTAAGGACACTTGGCACCAAGTTTATAGAAGGCATTTCTTAAAAACAGCTCTAAACCACTGTAATCTGTGTCGAAGAGGCTTTTATTATTATCAAAGGCATTTTGTAGATTCTGAGGTAAGGTTTCAAAAAACAAGTAGAAATGTTTTATAGCAATAGTATTTTAGATGTTTAAAAGTAAACTTTAGCATTAATTTTAAGTCTTTTGATCTTCTGGAAAAAAATGTGTGATTTATAAAGAGTAATCTAGCCCCTATCTTTTCAAAGATATTTACCACTTTGGTAGTATTTGCACCTTACATGCATATCATCCCAGTGCCTGTAAGATTGTGTGGGCATATAATAGGCACTAAACTGCTTTAAAGTATTTTTTAAGAATTAACTTCTTCTCTTATAAAATAATACATTCCCATTGTAGAAAACAATTTCAATAAATAAATGTAAAAAATATGCAAAAGGAAATAGTCCCTTTTATAACCCTTCACCTCGAAGTAATTTTAATTAATTTTTTTATATATTTTTGTTCAAGTCTTTCTATGCAAGGTTGTATGTGTGTGTATGTGTGTAAGACAATCATCCATCAATAGTGGAAATCATACTGTAAAACAGTTTTTATTGTGCTAGTTTCCTATATTAGGTTGTAATTCTTTCAATAAAATCTTGCTTTAAATTATTAAAGCACTATAAAGTTTTTGGAATGGACAGTTGTAGTTTAACGTCACATTTTACGAAGTAACCTGTAGGTGGCAGCAAACGGACATATTTTGAGCATTTTTTTTTTTACAAGCAGAAATGTTTTGAAATGTACCCTGAAAATGCTCTATTGATCAGTGATCTTATTTGAGCCCCTAAAATGCTTTCCTTTTGAATTTGCAGCAGCTTAAAATAAATTTACAATTAACTGCACCTATTGTTAAAAAGTTGCAAATATTTTGCCCTAATTTTAAATGTTGAGAAGACCTCTCTACAGAATAAAATTCTTTTTAAATATATATCATTAATTATTTTCATATACAGCTGAATTTCAAAAATTTCTTGAGTATATACTCAAAGAAAAGAGGTTAACCTAAGGACATACTTTAACATGGTTATGTGTTGAAACTAAATGCAAATTAAAGGTCAATATGCTGTGGATTTCTGCTTGTATAAAACATAATGAAATGCCCTACTTCCCAAGTTTATTTGCTTATTGGAATTAAAACAAAGTTATATAGGTGTGTGGTAGATAGAACCCAAATTATGCAGAATTTGATGGATCCTGTGCAGAAATTATTCAGTAGCTTCTATCTACAATAGGAATATACACTGAGTGGCCAGATTATTATGACCAACCCATTAGTACAATGAAGTGAATTAGTTATGCAAATAATAATAATAATAAAACCTTGAGATTATTTGCTTAGGAAGTTTTCAATATTCAGTATTTTTGGAAGTGTCAATGAAGTACTGATGGAGTGGTCATAATAATCTGGCCACTCAATGTATATGTTAGGTAAGTCTGAGTATTTTTAAAGCTTAGGCTAGAGGCACTTATTTAGTAGTTGTCTGTTTATGATCAAATTTATGTTTAAACTTACATTTGGTAATCTTAATTACCTGATATTTCAGTTGGAATGCAATGATGTTGTCCTATTTTGGCGAATACAGCGCATGCTTGCAATCACAGCAAATACTTTAAGACAACAACTTACAAACACTGAAGGTAAGTCACAGAGGGACCATTTTCTAATTTTGACATAAAAAATACAGTAATAACATCCATTTATAATAGCATGCCCTAATCTTCCTTTATGATAGGTTTATTTGAAAAACTAAAAATTATTATTTGCCCTTAAAATATTAATGAAAATAAATCATAATTGAAAAGGATGGAGACAAAACATAGCAGGAGTCTCTATTACAAAAAAACTCCGTTAGAAAAGGACTCCTAAGCATCACTTAGGTTTTTTTTTGAGAAATCAGCATGTCTGTTAAAGTGTCAGGGCTGGAGAATATGACTCTCTGAGAAAATATATTAGTTTTATGTTGTTAAAAGCACTGAATAGTAGTGAATATTTTCCCTGTAACTGTGAGAAGTCTGAACTTAATAGATCTAATGTGATGAGGAAAATAAGAACTTACTCCACGTATTGTTAATTTCATATCCTTGTCCATTCATAAAAACGGTGCTCCTCAGCTTTTTTATTTACTTTGAACAGTCAGGCGATTAGAGAAAAATGTTAAAGAAGTACTGGAAGATTTCGCTGAAGATGGTGAGAAGAAGGTTAAGTTGCTCACTGGTAAACGAGTCCAACTGGCCGAAGACCTCAGTAAGTACTTCCTCCTGCCTTTCACTTTGCTGCCTTTTCACCGTCCCCAGTTCCATTCCTTGTTCATCCATTTAACCTCAGACTTACAGAAAAGTATATACAAAGAACTTTTCTTCCTGAACTATTTGAGAGAAAGATGCTGACTTGAAGCCCCATCTCTTCTAAATACTTTAATGTTTTTTTCTTAGAAATAAAGATTTTCTCCTAGCAACCATTAAAATCAGGATGTTAATACTGATTACAACGTCTAATTTCACACCCCATCCAAGTTCCCCTTTTGTCCTAATATTGTCCTTTCATGTCACAAGATGTTCCATGCTCATTCTGTACTCAACCTAACCCAGCTTTTTTTTTTTTTTTTGAGAATGGTAAAAAGAAATCAAGAGCTGGGAACTGATATGCTCATTATTACTGGAGTATTGCTGTTCCCAGACCCTCTCAGAGGAAAGAGCTAGGGAACAAACACTGCATGTGTGCATGCACACTCATAAATACATATACGACATTTGCATCTTACTCCTGGTCATACATATATGTCTGTATTAAAAACCATAAGTTGACATTAGTACTTACCATTTGAATTCAATAATCCAGGGTTCTCGTTTTCTTTTTTTCCATATTTGTAACTCCTTTTTCTGACAATGAGAAATCTGGCTCTAGGTATCATTAATATATTTACTTATTTTGATCAGTGGTCCTTTATGTAACCAAACTTGTCGCTCTCCCCTTCATTGAACGAGCTTTCTCTTCACCCAGCTCAGGTTTTTACACTGACTCCAGGCCACCTCCGCAGTGCCTCACCCTGTTACCCTCTTCACCTCATCTAGGCCCTGACATCCCGTGTCAGGATGCCCTCTTCATGGAGTCCTTTTTACTGAGCTCAGGCTCTGTCCCTTTGTGCAGACATCTCCCCCTCTCATTCTCCCTCACCCTGCACTCTACTCAAGGAATCCCTCCTCACCTGAAGTCAGACTATGTTTTTATGGAGACGCCCTCTTCATCCTGCTTGCGCTCCAATGCCCTGCACCAGACTACGTTCCTACACAGACATTCTCCTCACCTCTAGGCCGGGCCACCAACTCCCCCCTCTTATACTTGGTCCGGCTTCTCACCTGCACTAGGCAGTGTGGCTTTCCCTTCCCCTCTACCATTCCCCACTCCACTTTGTGGAGTTATTTAGTTCTTTCCTGATGCTAGTAGGTTCTTAGCTTTAAGATGTTTTGCTTATTAAGATTTACTTAGATCCTCAAGAACCTAAGGAAGTCAGTGAAAGATTAATATTATTAAATAAAAATACTGGGGATTGGCACTTCTCTTTGAGTCTACCTCGTTAATAAGTTTCCCTTACTTAAGCTTCATAAACAAAGTATTTTTTCTTTCACTTTATACTTAAATGTATTATCCAGTGAGTTTTCTGATATCTAAAAGAGCATATGCTGAATAGAAAGAAGTTATTCAAATTTTAAAACAGTTTCTAAGCTGAATTTATATCAGTACAGCACAGTCACTAGAATATCCATGAGAAATCAGGCAATTTTCCTCTTTTATACCCTGAGCCTAAGCAGCATGCTATTTTCCACGGCTTATCTTTTCCTTCTCACTCCATTTCTAAGTTATCTGAACTCTTCATTTCTGTTTTTTCCTTTTCTTTCTTTAATAATCTTTTTTTGAAACATACTTTAACTTTTATTTCCATTTTCTATTGACTTCCTTTTGTTTTTGTTATTCATGTCACTTTGGCAACATCATTAAGTTTGTGCTAACTTAGAGAAGATCTGTTTTAACTCAGAGTTGCCAAAGATTAGCTGTGTTATCTTGGGCAGGTATCTCCCAGAGCCTTAGCTTTTTTGTGAAAATGCCTACGTACTATAATAGTTATTGCACAGCATTGTTAAGAGAATTAGTTCAAAACCAGTTGGAAGCCCCTGGCTCATAATTTCACGCTAAATTAATGCTGTTCCAGGAAGAGCTGTGTCATATCACAATGTATACAGTATATCTCTTTTTTATTCCTCAGGACATAGTTATCAGACAGTGAAAACTTCCATGTATTTTACCAGCATATACATTTTTAAGTGATTTAGAAAATGATGTGTCTCTTCTCATGTGTGTAACCCCATCGTTTTCCATTCCTAATTTGATTCTTTAAAGGAAGTGTATTACTAACACAAATTTGTGCACTGTCAAGCCAGGTCATAGGTTCTGCTGATTTTCCTTGAAATGATTGACTGCCTCTGTTCATATAAAATTATGGTCACATCAATGTATCAAATAATGTACTTGGAAGCAAGTGTTTGACTAGTGACTCAGCTTCGTTAGTCCCACTTAGGGAGATGAGCCATGACTTGGTCCATTAGTTGTAAAGAATCTTGAATATATCCCCTTATTGTTTATCTTAAGTCTAACATTTGGGAATCTGGTAATGGATACTTTCAGTGAGAAAAGTTTACACAGATCAAAGTGTCTAGTATAGCACATTCAGTTAGAATATAGCATGTTAATTAACAATTTAGAGAAGAGAGGCAATCAAGAGAGTTTTTACTGTGATTTTAAAATTGTACAGAGTAGAACATTGTATAGAGATTGGTAAAATTTGATGCATCACATTTATTGCCAGTCTTAAATTTGCTTGATTTTAAATAATTTCACCACTTTACTTTGGAGATTCACCAACTGGTTAGCCTTTAAGATGAGTACATAAGAAGTAGTACAGTATTCTCTCATCTTCTAGAAAAGATATACCATGTTCACTAGTGAAATGAAATCATGGAGCTGGAATTAGGAAGGTCAAAGAAATGAGAGAGGAGCCCACTTCTTCTAGTCTCCAGAGGCTCCTGGGAAGAGGAGTCATACGTAGAACTAGAACTCTTTGGAGATATGGTAGATTCCATAGCTGGAGCAGGGAAAGGTAGGATGAACCTGGAGCATCTTAAGGTATAGAAAGTAAGGAATTACTTGAAGAATGGTGGGGACATGTCAACAGGATATAGAGCCAGCTTGAAGAGGCTCCAGCTGGCCAAGACTAGGATAATTTGGGTATGAAAATAAATGTAGTTGTAAATTATAACCCATTCATTAAAATAAATCCATGTTAATACTTATATTAATAAATGAATAAAATCAGTGATGAGGAATGGGATGTTTGTATAATCACACAAAATATCGCCATACAAAATAATTAGAAAAAGAAAAAGAGTAATTTTACATTGGAGAAGCCTTGGCGATACCACCTAGTCAAGCGGTCAAAGTTAATATCAGTAATGGTCAAATCAGACCTGTGGACGCCGTATAGAGTGCAGTGAGAAGAACCCAGCATCACTTCTAGTGATGTATAACTTAAGTCCCATTATAAAGATACACCAGACAAACCTAAATTAAGGCACAGTCTACACTACATCAATATTATGTGAGACAGGAAAGACTGGGGTCTGTTCTGGTTGAAGGAGACTAAAGAAATGCAATGTGTGTACCTGCACAGGCCCTTTTTGCTCTAAAGGACATTAGTGGTCCAGTTGATAAAATGTGAAGGGGATCTGAGGGTTACAAGGTAGTAGTTCCTCAGTGTTAATTTTTAAACTTTGTTAAATTAGTACTCTTTAGGAAAAGATCCTTGTTTGTAGCTTATACCAATAGAATATTTGGGGCTTCAGGGGCATAATGGCAGTAAATGATTGAGGGAAAATATGTTCTTTGTAGTATTCTGACAACTTTTCTCTAAGTCTAAGTTATTTGCATTAAAAATGTTTAATTGTGTTTTTATAACTGATAATGGATCAGGCTCATATGAAAATAATTTAAAGAAAATGACACCTTTGAAAATAAGTCTTTGAAGATGTCAAAAGACTGTTACCTCATGAACAGTTTAATAAGATACACAGCTCATCTTTTCACCTTACTTTTTTATTTGCAGTGTCTAGTCACACTTAGACCTGTGTGGTGTGTAAATATGCCCACTTTGACTTGGATAAAATTATTTTGATTTTGTAATGAATTTTATTTCAAAGGATATAAATAGATATTTAAATAGTGTTAACTGGGATAAAATCTATTTGGATTTCCAGCAGAATTTTTAATAATGTTTCCAACCTACTTATTCAAACAGACTTCAGTTTTAAAATGCTTTCTTTGGAGAGGGGAAGATTGGTATACCATAACTTAAAGTTTTTCTTTCTATTATGCTCTGTTTTTTGATTTATAAAATTCATAAATAAATTATAAATTCATTTATAAATTGTCATTATATAGAACAAGTGATAGTGCTATCACCTCACAGACTTATTTTTAGTTTGTTCTCCATCCACCTCAAGCACTAGTGGTAATTGCTGGCAGTGTTGCTAAACTGAGTTTTATCAGTCCATCTGGGAATTCTCTTATTGTTTGCCGTGAATATGGTGTCAGCTGTTAACTAGATTATTGTGAGTGTTTGGACCTTAAATTAATTGCTTAGGATTCAGACCTTAGGTTTCTTTTAACTCTTGTTTATGAAAGCTCGAGTTACACTTTTCATTCTCTGTGTACATAACCAAAGAATCAATGATACACAAGAATTAAAGGGGCATTACCAATTCTTTAGATCGCTCTTTCCAATAACTATGGAGTCTTTCCTGTTTTACAGTGCACCTTTTCATTTTGGTATCAGAACCTGAGCTGTTTATGAAGGTATTTTTCTCTCCCAGATATTAGGCTTTGTGCTTTACATGCATTCTCATAGGTACAGTCATTTTTCTTATTTTATAGATAAAGAAATGGAGGCTTAGAAACACATAGATAATAAGTGGGAAAGCCAAGAATCAACCCCAAGTCTTTTAACTACTGTTCCAAACTAATTTGAGGAAGAAAAAAACAAAAAACAAAACAAAACTCAAGCCATTAGAAACTATGATTACATAAAATGGTTCTTTACATTTGGATACTTCCATAGTTGACAATATACTTTACGGAGTAGGTCAGAAAGACACACATAATAGTGATGATGATGATCATCCTTTGTACTTCCTACA